TCTTAAAATAATTTCTCCATTTCTACAGCATTAGGGCAAGCTTTTTATGCTTTCTTCGTTCTAAATTCAGCGTCCCACCAGTTAATTTTCTGCACTTTATATTCTGCACGCAAAGGCCGCTTTGAAGCAGACAGGGAGAATGGCTTTCTAGGATGCAAAATGTTGCATAAGCAAAGTTTTTTTTTTTTTTTTCATTTATCGGAATATTGCGCAGGCAGCCAATGCTTTCAGCTTTCAGTCGGCAAGTCTATTTCATATGCTAAAGCAAAATGAGACAAAAAAAGACGGACAACTGGAAAAGACAGCCGCTAACCAGTGCTCATGAAATAAGGAATTCGAAAACGACCACTGAGCACACGGTCACGTAATGCCTGCAAGCTCGATCCTTCAAACGGTAAGACGCCGCAGGTTAAAACATATAAAACCACGCCAAGACTCTGTAAAAACAAAAATTTATTTGGCTATCAAGTTCTGAATTCTATTGTTAGAATGGTAACAGAGCAAATTTTACAAATAGAGGAATTTTGGGGTTCCATTTTTTATAAATCACAAAGCTAAATTTTTTTCAGCATTTTCATTGCACAAAATGTTATGAAGCTGAGGATCAAAACAAATTCTAGACATTTCTGTCAGCCACATTATCCGCCACTAATTTTTGCAAAATGAGCACCTAGTGGAAATAAGACTAGCATTTTCTCATAAAAGTCGTAATGAAAAAAAAAAATTACCCAAACATCAATTTCAGGACCAGTATACCGTTTGCCCTCAAAAACTTCAGGAGCTGCATAAGGCGGAGACCCGCAAAACGTATCCAGTGTACCAGTATTACTGTAAAAATTGCTGAATCCAAAGTCGGCTATTTTAATATTCAGATTTGCGTCAAGCAGCAAATTTTCTGCCTGAAAATCCAAAACGCTTTCATTACAGAAATCACTGAAAAAAAAAAAAAATTTTACGATCAAAATGCATATGCACTCAAACACCGCTCGCAACTGCCTCCCTGCACTGATAGCTTTGACGCACAGCAGTGGCCAGCTTATAAATAGTATGAATTTAGAC